CCATACTTCAATCCTTGGAATGACTTGCTTCTACACCCAGGTTATGCACCCTGTTCATCGCTTCCTTGGGAGTTTGGGCAGCCAGCCTATCATTAACATGCATATCTAGGAGTGATGTGTCTCATCAAAACTGTCTAGGACATATTTTAGCACATCAGAGCTTAGAATTGAAGCTGCTTACACAGAAATACACAGATGGGTATTGGTGCAAGATAGAAACACTTCAAAATATGTGTGGATCTTGCAGCAAACTTTGTCTCACTCGCTCTTTCCTCCTTGGAAAAGCTTGCAAAAGTCCCTGGGGAACGCCAGATTGCACTCTTGGGAGAAGAAGGGATGCAATTAATGCCTATAAGGAATGTGAAGTTTGGTTTTTGCTAAACTTTATCCTGGTAATACAAGTACAACCTACTACAGGCAGAATTGCAGCACACTCAGGAGTTCTTTTGTTGCATTTTCTGGCTCTCACAGTGCGCTGGCTTGATTACCCTCATTTAAAACATGATAGTCCCAAAACCACCGCGCGTAAATCTCTCGCCAAAGTCAGCTGAAACAAAACCAATACAAATCAAAATAAGTGGGAGAGCATCCCCTGCTCACAGCAGCCATCCCGCTGCTAGCAGTGGAGCTGTGCCTGCAGAAGCTGGGGGTAGCGAGCGGCTGAGCTGTAAATAGAGAGAAACAAATCCTTCAGGGAACCGTTCCAACAGCTGTGAGCTCCCAGGGGTTGGAATGCAGCCCAAGAGGGTGGCAGATTTGAGGTTTGCTCCAAGCACGCACATGCTCGTAGGGCCCCCAGTAGGTTTAATTTGCTGCAACTGTTTCAACAAACCCAAAGCCCTGGTAATGCTATTACACGCTGAAATCATTCAGCATTAAACAACATCGAGCAAAAAGTGCTGCGGGCGAGGAGGAGCCCCTTGGTTCCTTCAGCACCCTGCTTGGCCTCAGCACCTGGACTTACAAAGGGAACAAAATAAAGCCTCCAGAAAACACCAAACTATGTCAGAGTGCTTACAAAGTGTGTTTTCCCAAAACAGCCTCACATTGGAGGAGATGTGGGGGTGAGAGAAGAGCTCTTGAAGGGCGCAGGGGATGCCTCAGCAGCCCTCATACCATCCCCACCACCTGTCCTCTGCCTGCATCTCATCCCTACCAGGGCTGATTCAGCCACACACACAGGCCACGTGGTGAATCACACAGGGAAATGCTACAAGCTAAAAATACCCCCCAGGCTTTTTTGGTTCTGGCAGGTTATTTTTAAGCTTCTTACTTCACCCACCAACGGCTCCATGCAGGAGGAGCAAGCAATATGAGGACAGCTGAGAGCAGCAGGGAGCGTATGGGCTGCTCAGTGCCACCAACAGAAGCTTGGGCTTGTCCCAGCCAGAACAGGACAAGCCTGCAGCACCATGAAGCTGGATTCCCGACCCTTTGGGACCCCAGCAGCGCCAGTGTGCTCAGCAGTAAACACCTTTGGCAGCTGGCAAGGCTGCTATCCCAATAGGGAACAGCTTCAGCCAAGAAAAATAAGTGTTTCCTTCTCTCAGGCTTGTTTATCATTACCGTGATGCTCAGCTCTAACTGAGAGGCCACATTATGCACCATGCTGCCTTCTTTCAAATAATAAGCTACACATGTAAATAGGCTCCACTACTTCGAGCTGAATAGCTAACAAACAAGCAAACAACAACTCCACAGCCCACCATGCTCCTGTTTAAGTGACGCAACAGATGCCTTTATGCATCCTGAAGGTGACACATCCATCATGCTCAGAGCCTGAGCAGCTTCTGCATCACTGTCAAAACCCAAATGTGCGTGGGCTGGCAGCAGCCAGCATTTGTGGGTCTGCAGGTCAGGCTGGCACTGCCTGCTCATCTGCTGGGCTCAGCCTTGACATTTTTGTGGTCTCTCTGCATCACCATTATCATGCCAGCATGCAGGCTGGAGATGGGTTTAGCAGTGTGATGCCATTCCTCGCAGTAGGCGGCACACCACGAGGGCGTTTAATCTGAGCAGATACCCGTGGGCAATCTGCTCTGGATTAGACTGCTGCAGCATTCACATAATGAGTCTTTATGAGTCTGTGAGCTCCCTCGTGCTGCACAGCTCTCCTATTCTATTGAACTCTCTGAAACAGTGTTTCCCTCATCTCTGTCTCCTTTTGTAGTCCTCAGTTGTTTTTTTTTTTTGCCATAGTCTGTAAAATTATCTGCTGTTAGAAGAGTTATTTAAGAACCTTTGGACTATAATGGGCTTGGCATTACAGGAAAATAAAGCAGCTCTCCAGGAAATTTGCGCTGATTTCAGCCTTCCCATTTACGCTGTGATGCATCACACTGTGCTCTAATGTCTCAGTAATCTGCAGCTCAATCTGCTGTTAAACGGGCTGGTGATGCAGAAGCTGCTCACTAAGGTTCCTTGATATTCATCTGCTGATTGAATCATTTGCTTCTTGTGATTTACAAATGCGCCAAAGAGCCAGAAGCCCTTTTTCTTCCTGAAAAGTTAATTGGATCACAGCCTGGCCCTGGCAGGTGGCACCCGGGTGGGCTCCAGCCAACCAGAGAGGCTGCCCAGCAGGACCAGGGCATCCCAAGGACAGAACCCAGAGGTCTGCATGACCCAAACAGGCTGACTGCTTGCAGAGGCTTCAGGCAGTCCGCGTGGAGCTGCTGGGCAGCCTCTGCATTGAGGCAGAGCTCTGTCTCCCAGCACTACTGCAGCAGTGTTGCTTCCATCAGACATGCCCTAGGATGAGTTTACTCCTCCACACTTCCAGCTTTGTCATTTGTAGAGCTAATTATTGCCAGCAGTCCATTTTGACACATCCCACTCAGTTATTTGCAGGTACGAATCCTTCTCCCTAGCCTGCAAATCAAGGTTGCTTCAGCTATTTTTCAATACTTCAGCACGCAACACACAATTTGCTCTCTTCCTCAATAATTAAGTGGTTAGCACCACTGTCAAAGAAGCATTTAACCACACTTGCATGAGGTTTCCAACCAACCACGGTCCCAAGCAAGGAAGCATTAGGCACCAGGCTGCAGGGATGCATCTCTGATTACCGGGCTGTAAATAACGCCTCAGAATATATGGTTTGTTGTGGTGATAACACACATTTTGTAGGTTACATAAATTGGAGCAATCCTGCTGACAGAGGGAAAATAGTGGTGTGTGATGGTTTCCTCTGGTTGCTAGGAAATAGAGTTAGTGCTCGGATCCTTGCATGCCTCGGCGCACACTCGTGACAGATGATGGATGCGGCACATGTGCAGAGCCCAGCCTGTTAGCGAGCCCCGAACGGGGGAAATGCAGCCACACAGTGACAGCTAGATCCATTTAACAGAAATATATGCATTTTTCATTAAGAGAATTACATTTGTTTGCCTAAGGCATTTAGGAAAATGTAAGCAAAGAATAAAGTTAGACGTAAAGGGACAGGTGGCCTGTGCAGGCAAACCCGCAGCAGCCACACACATGCACAAGATGGTCTGTGCTAGGGATTTAACACCTGTCCAAAGCCCCAGTATGAATGAGCTGTGTTTTTAATGTTGTTGTTTTTTCTTTTACAGTACTGCAAAGGACCATATCCCCAAAGGGTCATAGCCAGCCTCTGTCCCAGGTACAGGCATCAGGGACAGACCCCTCCTTCTCCTTTTGACCCTAGGGCACATATTCTGCAGCACCACAAAGCTGGAGCTGCATCCTGCTGCCAGGACTGCTTGTTAAGGCAACTGCAATAGGTGACATTGGTTTGTGCTCCAGTTTTGGGAATAGCACAGCACTTGGCCGAAGCTCACAGAAAGCTGCCAGGCAGCGGCAAACAAGTGTATTTCTGCATCTGTATAAAGCAGACAGACATACACGTTCTTCCTTCCCAACTGCATAGACAGTTTGCCCATCTCAGAAATTGTAAGCAAGAGTTTAGGGTGAAATTAGCAGCCCCGTGCAGTTAGGACTTGTCTCAGAGGGAAGCAGGTCAGTGCTGTTGGCTCAGCCCATCCAACCCCTGCCCTGGACACAGGCAGCTCCAGAGCAACCCCTCTTTTGTCCCCTTCAGTACCCCTCCAAATGTTTCCTATGCCTCCCAGGTCCTTATTCTCCCCCACCATATCCAGAGCCCAGCTGTTCCCATCTTACAGGATACAATCCTGATTTACAAGTACATTCATAGAGTGGAATTCAGGATTTTTTTTTCTCCAAAAATACCTCAATGTTTCTGAAGAATGGTTTTAGGTGAGAAGATGCTTTTCCCCAAGACTGCACTGTACCAAACCCAGTTTTTTTCTCCACCCATGTGGGACAGACACAGTTGTGGGTCCTCCCCCAGACCCCAGCACTGTGGCATGAAGCGTCCACAGGTGGGGTCTGCCCTTGGGCTTCCCAAGGGGATGGAGGTGCTGCAGGCCCAGATGCTATGGGCTACCCATGGATGAAATGTTCCTATCCCAAGAGTTTGGGGTGTTGCATCACTCCACCATGAGCACATCACTTGGGCTCAGTGACAGCTAACAAAATTGGCTTTGATGCAACACTTCAGTGATGACATCCATTGATGTTTCTGAGGTGTCTGCCACATTATTTTCCTGTGTGGCCTAAAGACCAAAGACACAGATCTATATCTCAGTGTCTCACAGCTGATACAGAGATTGATGCATGGCTTTTAAGCAGAAAGCAATGTGTTTCCATTACAAGCACAATGCATCTGTGTAAGAACGTGCACCAGTCCCACAGCCCCAAATTCCTGAGCAAAACAGGTCTCTTACACCACAGAGAGAAGGAAGGAGTTGGGCTCCAGCCCTGCGCTGGGATGGGAGCACATCTCAGCCATAGAGGAAGGGAAGCGTGTTCATAGCAGAGGGGTTGAGGCAAGCTCTTGCTTTCAGCTGAAGTGAGGTGCATAATTTCCCCAGGATGCTCTATTAAAGAAGCTTCTTGCCAATGTTATGCTTTTAATGCAATAATTTTCATAACAGCCCAACATGGTTCATCAGCACGTGATCTGGCAAGTGACCAGCCTTCCTTTAAACCATCCAAGCGGGCTGCAAAAGGTGAGGGAGAAAACAGATATGGATCTGTTCCAGCTTTCAACAAATGCCTGCATGCTGCCTTGCATGTTTTGGTCCACATGGACTCACACCTGCAGCATGCTGCTCTGAAGCCACAACCCCGCTTTGTGCCAAAATGATGCAATTTCGTCTCACCTCTGCTTGCAGGGTGGCAGGGAAAGGGCAATATGGGGCCCTTAGACTGACAGCATTTGGTTATCAACAAGCAGCTTGTCCTCACATGCAACTGTCCTAGCAACCATTTACAGCAAGGCTATTCCCACAGACATCCAGCATCACCCAAAAATTCAGGTTAGCTGACTTAAGTGATCATTTGAGAAGGAGAACCACGCCAAAGCCAGCATCTCAGCACACAACCCCAGTCTGTACATGGAAAATAGCCAATTGGGTGCCACAATGCAGAGCCCACACTGTAAGTGAAATCTGCCATCTGCTGTGGTCACTTATACATACCCACATCACTTCATCATTTGCACTGGACAACGTTTTGGGAGTCAGAAGAGGGAAGCAAGCTGTGAAAGGCCCTGCAGCAAGGTACAAGCTCCCAAGGGATCAGGAACATGACAAGGGGAGACTGGAGCAAAGCCACAGCAAAGCTGTATCTTGCACTCCCTCTCTGTGGCCATATGAGAGCTGGAGTGTTTCAGGCAGCACAGCTTGGCATGCAGTCCTGCAAAGGCTTGAGCGACTAGGAGACAACATTCCCCCAGGGAACGAGGAGCTTTAGCTGTTGCAGCATGGCAAGCGTGCAAATGCAGTATCTTGAGGGAATAAGGAAGATAAGTTATGTCATTTCATCACTAATCTTGGAACGGAGACAAAAAAAGCAAAAGAAAACAAAACAGAGCATCCCCTGGGGTCCATAAAGAGGAAACTAAAAATATGATAAATTGGTTGGCTCGTTATTTTCTGAAGAAGACATATTACAGCCCATGTTATATATCTGGATTCCCATTGTCACTGACGATAGAAAGTTTGGCACGAAGCAAGGGAGAAAACTGGAAATTCTGCCATACCACAAACTAATAAATACTGGTAAGGAGCCATCTACTAAAAACACCAGGCAGCAATTCCAGTCCTGCAGGACAGGTGAGAAGGAGAACTGATTTTCTTTGCTAACTGTGGGAAAAGAGTTGAGCAAAGGTTCATTTTCTTATGTTAACTTAGCCCTATAGAGAAACAAAGAGAATTAGAAGATCAGAATATAACTGCAAAGCGTATGAAGATGCTCATAAATCCAAGGAAAATAACATGTGCCAACAAATGCTCAGGGGACTGCTCCCACCACTGTCAGTGTCTGTAACTGAGCAGGAGGAGCAGCCAGGTGCCACTCTGCTGCCTGGCACTGTGCGGTCTGTGCTGGGCTGTACCCACAGAAAAGGCTCCCAGAGGAGTTTGGGTATAAAGCAGAGGAATGAACAGACAAGGAGTATTAAAAATAAATTCAGAGAAGCCAGAAAGCAGGGATTCTCATGCAGTTTTAAAGGCGTAACAACATAACAGGAGCAGCAGCTCACAGAGATGGAAAACCCTGTGCTTTTAGAGTTGCTTGGCATCAGGCACAAAATCTTCACTTCCATGTATATGGGAGGAACCTATACATTAACACATCGTGACAAGATCCAGCCACCCTGCTGGCTTCCCAGCAAGTAGGGGTCACTCAGCCAGCCTGCCTTTGGCGCTGGGGGATTCTTCCTCATTTTCTTCCTGACTCTGCTAAGTCATCTCATAAAAAAAGCCTTTCTCGGTATAACTGCTGTTCTTTTAACTCCTGAAACTCCAAAATGGGACTGGAAAGGTTTTGAACTTGTGGTGTGTTTGCTGCTGTTTCCTCCCTGCTGTAGGGGAAGCTAGTTGGTTGTATGGAGCAGGGAGGATGCATGGATGCAGTTGGCAAGGTCCTGCCCCAAGACAAGTGGCATAGCTCTCATGCGACCAAGGGCTTCTCAGAAATGCCGCTGGTCTGAGACCCCTGGGGACAACCAGTGAGATGTGAGGGCATCCCTCCACACCAACCCCATTGGCAGACACTGCATGGTTTTGTGAGCATGCGTATGGATGAATGCACAGGTCTAAAGGAACACGCTCAGCTGCTTGGCCAAATGGGAGGGAATCAACCCATACAAGCACCTTTTTCTCCCCATTTTGGTATTTTTAACAACTTCCTTTGCTGTTTCAAAAGCACTTATTTCAAAAGGAAATGCATGATTGCTAAAGAGAAAAGGCATTTCTCTGAGTGCTGTGGTGGTGATGGAGATAGCTCAACATGAGAGATGGGGATGCAGAGGACCCATCCTGAGCACACAGCCCCACACACCCAGCCAGCACACACCATGCACAGCTTTCACTCCACACACTAAGGAAAATCATCTCAGCAGAATGAGGCACCAAATGCCTCACAACTGCACCTTTGTCTCAAGGAGAAGGCAAGCGCTATGAAATACAGGATAACCCCTGCAGGGAAGGTTTCCAGAGCAATTTGATGAAAAGAAACAAGAGGAAAGAAAATAATGAAGAAAAGAGATGACAAAATTTGCATGTCGCTCCAGCTGTCAGCTCTCTCCTCCCATGCCAGCCCTCCCTGCTTCACCCCTTCACTCTGGGTTTTAGCAAGGTCTGTATGCACACCAGGCCTCTAGGGTAAAATTTAATCCAGAAAGCCCAAAATTGAAAAAGATCCAACCCAAGTTGTGTCCTTGAATTTAATACCTGGATAAAGCCCTGTGGAGCATCAAGAAAAAAAAAATAGCGAAGCATGCATTAAGTTATCTAATAGAAGCCATTCGCCTTATCCCTTCGTTTCATAGCAAAAACACAGACACCATTCTCTTTGCAGAGCCTTTCAGATGAAGTAAATACCTCTACATCCGCCCTCCATTGAAAAAACATGGAGCTGCCATTTCGCAGGGCTCTGTTTCCAGCACCATGGCCCCATCCTGTCCTGGAGGTAATTGCTTTTTATAATTACACCTATAAAATAAAGGCTCGCTCCTTACATAATTAAGAAGGGTACAATTGATAGATATCTATTTCTGCCTGATGATATCATCGTGTTTATGTAGGAAAACTTCCAGAGGGTTCCAAAAAAAGAAAAAGAAAAGCACAAACTGATAGCCCACCCCCTAAATTATTCCCAGGCTTCTCCAGTCTGAATGTATTTATTTGCAATAATGATTGCGGCTTTATGCGAGCAGATGGGCAGTCCCTGAGAGGATGATTTGTTTCCCTCTTTTCTTACTTCATGATGTATTTTATGATTTCAGCAGGTCAGTGGCTGCCATGTGTTTCTTTCTAATCTGCGAGTGCTTTGCGTTTGCCTCATTCTTGGCAGCCATCGTATTTACCAAAGAGATCAGACACGGACAGATGATGGCAGAGATCCAGGCTCCTCGAGAGTTCAGCGCTTGGATGTTGGCAGCAAATAAAGATATATGGATTGCTGTTGTTGGTTCGAACTTACAGGGGCTTTTTCCCTCGTTATATTTCAGTTTATACGAGCACATCTATGTGTGCACAGAGAGCTGTGCGTGTGCATGTGCACACGTTTTTGAATTCTCATTGTAATACCCTCGACCAGATAGAATACAGATGAGCTGTTACACAAAGAACAATAGATGTCAACTAGATTACACCCTCCCCTCTGGGGGGGGCGGGCCCCCCCCCACTTTTCCTTTCCTCCTTTTTTCTTTTTTGTTCTTTATAGGCCTGGTTTGTTATAAATCCTCCATGCCCATTAACCTCTGAACCACGCTGATGATATCTCTTCCGAGCTAAATTGCTTGTATTTCCAGACATTTGTTTGTTCACTTAGAGGCCTATTGGCAGTGGGAGGGGGAGAACAGCCCATGGCTGAATAGGGCTCATGGATTATAAACGAAAATTCTTTTCCTCCTTGTAAGATGATGCTCTGAGACCTCTACTAAAGGAACGGCTCAAGTTTATATGCACAGAGGTGGAGGCCAATGGTAGAAAGTTAATCACAGCAACACCAAAAATACCCCAGTGCAGTGGAAGTTCTGGGTCCTTCCCCATAGCCACATGCTGCCCAGCAGTGCCCACGTGGTCACCACTGTCACTGCAGCCAGATCATCCCTGCTCAGCTCTCACCTGCACTGTGCCACCTTGCACCAAAACGTTCCATCACCTGCCACCCAGATATGGTTGAGTGGTTTGGCTCTTCAAAGCAAACTCAAATATACAAGTCCACAGACAGCAGAAGCATCCTTGGAAGTAAATTCTATTTCCCTTCCTGTAGCTCAGCACAGCTGCCTGTGAAGCACAGACAAGAGTGGCTTCAAACTGCAGCTACATCCTTACAGGGCACTGCACACTCAGTCACCAGGCTGCCAAAGATAAACCCCATAGTTTCCAGCAGCTCCCAGACTGCTCCTGCAGGACCCACTCTGCAGCCTTTCAGCTATTACAGACCCAGTGTTTCAGGGGGCACTGCAACTCTCAGAAGGCACACTGAATGGCAATTCCAGTATCTTGACTTTAAAATAAAAGTGTGGAAGCAGCAAATGTGCTGCCATTTCCAATGCAGACCTCCAGCCTTCATTGCTGTTAAATATATTTCAACTTGCAGTTCCAAAATACCATTTCACTTCCATACACTGCTGCATCCATTTCAACAGAGCTCCCATCTGATCTTTTTGGAATTGATTCCTTAGGCTTCCCCCCACTCGCCCTGTGACCCTGGGATGCTGCAGGTGATGGCACTGGCATGGCTTCCTGGTGTTCTGGGGCTGGTTGCATGCTGCTGCATTCTCCAGGGAGGCCCCAGTATGGATACCCACAGCCAGCACTGCAGACCAGCATAATGATGGAGTGCATGGGCTACAAGCTTCAGCATGGTACAATTGCATACCTGCCTCTCTGCTCGGCTCCAGCCACAGCATGCATGCACAGCCAACTGCTAGCCCATAATTAAATAATTTAGGTGAGGGTTTTGCAGAGCAGAGGGTAGGAAGCTATAATAACCCATGGTTTCTCAGATCATTCATGTTTTTCCTGCTCCCAGTAACAACACCCGATTTCCATGGCAACACTTGCATGCTTCAGTACGTGTTACTTTTTGCTCATGCAGAGCACTGCTCCTATGAAGCAGGATGGCTGAGCTCCCCAAACACCAGCAGAGTGCCCCCCGTTCACCCCATTCCCATCCCACTGCCCCAGTGTGCTCCCACACATCCCCCTCCACCACTGGAGCTGCAGCACAAGGACATGCACTACTGTCTGCTCTCCAGCCAAGAGCTCATTTTAAACTTGGCTGTGGTTTCTATTTTAATCCCACACACACATTTTTGGAAACACTTACTAAACCATTAACACATTTATATGAAAGGAAAGATGGTGATTAGCATTTTTTCCCCCCCGTCATTTCTTTTTGTGTCAATTTTTTGGCTCGCGAGCAGCAGAAGAACGTGGTTACAGCCATGCACACAGTGCTGGCGGGTGTGAATTCCTTCACAGCATCAACTTGATTTACCTCTGCCTTGCCTCTCCTCCAGTCCCACACACTCCATTTCACCACCACTCCTGTACAAAGAAGAGCATCGCCCAGAGCATGCTGAACTCAACATGAGAACTTCATTTGGGTTCAGCAGGGGGGATTTTTTATAATTCTATCTTAAACAGGCTTGTGTTAATGGCTCATTAGGACAGACAGCTAATCTGGCCCTCCTTTTTTTATTTTTTAAATTTTTTTTTTTTAAACACCTATTGAGATGTTTTCATAAGCAGGAATCCTTTCCAAGGTAAAGCAGCAGCAATTAGTGCATTTATTTATTTTGCTGTCATTCACACCACAGCATTAGCAGTCTCCCCTCTGGCCAAGGTACAGAATAAATAAAGTCCACTTGAGGTGCCTTAAGCTTCTCCCATGTAGTGCGACAGAAGAAAATCAAGGCTGCCGTGGGTGGAGAACTCTGACCACTTGAGATAGCGTGTGTAGAGATGTTGCCAATGGGGCTGAAAATTAGTGCAGAGGAGAGGGCAGGAGAGCAATGCTAATTATGTGCAGCAGCGCAGAGCTGGGGAGACAGCCCAACAGCAGAGCCACAGCAGAACCCACTGCCTGGATAGGATGCTCCCACTACATTCCCAATTGCATTATTTCTTCCCCAAATTCAAATACCATTTGGCACTTCCCAGCAGGGGGACTGCATTCACATAGGACTTGGCAGTCCCAAGCATGCAGTGATTCTAAAAGCTGCAGTCCAAGGAAAGGCCATTTCAAGGAGCAGAGCTTCAAGGGTGAGGCATAAAGCTGAGGACTACACAAGAACTGAGCTGCTTCTTCAGGCTGTGAGTCAGAACAGCCACCACACTGCAGAGCAGCTCCTAGAAGAGACAGCAAGGCAGCCAGCAAACCCTGCCACTGGCACAGCTTACACATCTTGCTATAACAATTTTCTTAGACAAGAAGCACTTCAGGTTCACGTTGACATCCAGATCATGGAAATGGGTTTGCCTGGCCCCCCATACACAAAAAAAAAAAAGATACAGAGCACAGGAAGAAATCTCATTTGGTGGAGAACCAAAGCAGGACTTTGGACATCACCATCGTGTTACCAGCAGCTCCAGGTGGCCACCACGTGAGCAGCACAAACGTGCCTGCGAGAGGAGCGATGACAGGTCTATAGGCATGAGCAATTTTCTGTAAGATGCACTTAGGCATCTGCTCTGGATTAACATTGTTTTAGTTAAAATGAGTGTTTTGGAAGCATTTAAGCAGGTAAGTAGCTGCACCTACACAGCATAAGGAAAAATCATCAATAAGCAGATATGGGGGAACCTGACAAGAGGGGTAACATCAGTCCTGTCACACAGAGCACACTGTGAACAGTGCTGGGGACACAGGAAACAGCAGTGGCTCAGATTCTATAGGATACAATCACTGCAACTAAATGCCAAGTAGCAAGGACATGTCATTATCTTTATCTCTGCTATTCAAAACTCTTACAACTGTTGGTCCACTGCAGCTGGCAGCTGCAAACCTCAGGCTTTACAGAGCCCTGTTTTACGGGAGAAGATGAGGAGATGACTTGTTCTCTGTAAGTCTTTTGCCAACTCAGCCTGGCTGCGAAGAGGTCACAAGACAGCACAACCAGGCCTTGCTAGCCTCTCTGTTCTGCAATATCCCAGTTTATTTTTAAAGCCCTATAAAAAAGCCCAAAGGCTAAATTAATAACTACACCATTCAGATCCACATAATACTCAACTACAGCCAATAACTGCAGATGAATTAAACTAGACACAGGTACAGGAGAGGACAGCTTCAAAGGCTGAGTGGTAAGATATACACAAACACCCAATAAATATGACAAAAACCCCATTAGACTGTGAAGAGCCAACCTGACCTTGAAGCTGAGGAAGCCACTCACGTGGCTGAGAGGATGTAAAAGCAAACAAGGAGTCTGGGAGACAGCCAGATATTACCTGGCTCCGACTGACCGCTAAGTGCGGGTGCCACTGAGACCTTTGGGTGCTGCAGCCAGGATGAGCCCTTCCAAACCAGAGGCATCTCTCACAGTTCACTGTTGGTTTCCCTTTCTGCAGCCTGAAATGCAGAGCCTGGACTGCAGTCCCAGACTGTTCTTTTTCAGGGGCCAAGCGCAAGGATTTCACATACCGGTCTGAGTTCAGGTTTTCCTCTTATTTCTTTTAAAGACTTAATTCCTTCAATGCCTGAATTCCAGGATTTTAATGCTTTTAGCTCCATTTCCCCTTTTCCTGCTCTGCATCTAATACTTCAGCCCATAAATCTCAGCAAGCACACAGCACAAAAGCAGATAAGGAAAGCTGAATAGCCATAGTATGCTGGAAAGGACCAGCATGAAACCAATCCAAAACAGAGATTATAACCAATGGAAGAAAAAAAAAAAAAAAAAAGAGTTGTTGAAGTTCAAGTAAACCCAGAAAAAGGTGTTGTATGACAACTTAATTAAGTTACAGGACATAATAACCAGCAGTGCATCATTCTGCTGATGGAAGAATCCATGAAGGGAAGATGAATACTGGCCAACCTGACTACAGGATGCTTTTTGCCAGTGTTGTTCTTTCAGTTGAAGGTTCCCCTATCCCCTCTCCTTCCACAGGTTCATATCCCTATAAGAGACAAAGGTTCGGAGGAGGCTTGATGTCCTTTAAGCAGGACATAAATGCCCATTCCAAACCTGCCAACCATCCTGGAACACAGCACACATTCAAAACCTCACAGCATTGCCTTCCACATCTGTGCAATGATGGCCACAATTAACGTTAATAATTATTTCACTCCACAGATTTAGCCCTTTTCCTTTGGGTAATTATGATCTTTCTTCCTCTCCCCAACACTCATTTCAAATCCTCGTGGGTAATGTGCAGCCAGCTGATTCTACATTTATCTCGCTTCTATTTGTTTGACATATTTCAGGCAAGAGCTGCTGAAAAACACTACAAATCCAAGAACTCCCGCTCATTAATAACATTCATCTCACCTCCTTCGCTGCTCCTTTAACATGCTGCTTTTATTTGGTCTAATTGCAACTCTCAGCATGATTAATCACAACATTTTTGCGGGAAGCTGGGGAATTTGATAACCCTGTCCTCATATGGATTTGATCACATTCATGCTGAGAGTCCAGGCACGCTTCCCGCAGTCTTAATGTAAAAGCTTAGCATTAAATGATCCTCCTTGCCTAGAACACACTAATTACTAGTACCACTATATTCACCTAGGTTCCAAACATAGGCTGGAGATAGAAGCTAGTTAATGTGGTTCAGCTTCATGACATACAGCCTTCCTCTTATCTTTCCATATGTAGGCCCTCCTTTCCTCAATTTCACCTCCAAAACCATTTAGCAGACAAAAGTTTATACTGATCTTGGAAGCTTAAAGAATTAAAATGACATCCGGGAATTATGCCCTCTCAATCCAAGGGGCCAAGTCTCTTTGGGGAGCTGCAGGTTGCAGCAGGCGCTGTGAGAAGTAAACTCAGAACTAATCTACGCTAGGTTAAATTCTCCAAACATTTATTGCACACTCACATTAATGTATGCATTCATTTTGCAGTACAACTACTGAAAAGTTATTAAATTAGCAACCTTGGAGTATCGTATTTTTCTCATAGCAGGCAGTGACAAATCTCTCAGGGATTTCAATGAAACATGAAGAGCATCAGTGCACATTTCTGAAGCGTCATCTGGAGGTCACATCAATATTTGAAGACGACACAGCATTGTCTCCCAGCGCTCAGACCAGAGCAGCACAGCTGCTGCCGGCTCCTCCAGCTGCACCAACCCAGGTGGTTGAGGATGGTGTTGGCCACCCACTTCTCCCCTTCCAAACCTCCCCTTCCTCAGGGGTTGGGCCTTCCTTCCCATTCACTACTGCCAAGGACTATTAGATGGATTAAAACCTTCAGATTAAAACCACGTGGACATGACAGAGCATCCTTCACCCGCTCCCCTCCCAGGCTTCATGTTCTCTGCATCGTTTGCCTTGCTAAGCCCTTTAATTAAATAGTAAGAGCCTAGTGATTATCACCTACTCAGAAAATACCATTTGGAAAAAAAAAAAAAAAAAAAAAAAAAGGGAATTAACACCAGACTCCCACTCAGACTCAGAGTTCCATCTTTTTCCTGATGTTCTCCCACAAGTGCTATTCCCCATTTGGTCCTTCACCAGATGTTACCATGTCTACGCTGAAGGGCTGGGAAAGCAGATCTCAGCCCAGCATGGAAGGGAAAGGCCCTTTGTCCTGACACAGATCAGGCCATTAGCACCCAGCCCACCCTGCAGTCTGCCTCTCCCCTGGGAAACACCTGCAGTATAGCAGGGCTGCAGCTGGGTGAGCAATCTGCATGGGATGCTGGCTGTGTACCACCCCGCTCCTAAACCCCATGCTGTTTGCTCAGTGCTTCACACGCACACATCTGCGATTCTTTGTAGCCTTGACAACAGGCTGCACTTGAAATGGTGTCTCCAGGTTAAAGGTGTTTGCTGAGTGACAGACTCCCAAATAAAATGGAAATGCAAGCTCTGGAAAGCCCCACTGATCCCCTTGCCAAAACTGACACCTCACTCAGCTGTCTCCACACCAATGCCTTTTCCAGGTGCCCAGCTCCCACAGCCCCACTGTCAATACTCAAACACCATGTAACTCTAAGTCCTCAAAAAGCAGTGCTCTCCAGAAACCATATCATTTGGCTTGAGTTCTCCAAGGAAAAAAAAGATTTTTTTCCCTCTGTATACATACTCAGCAATGTTTCAGAGTCCATACAAGAAGTAAATATATAAAAATATAAATGTATAGAAACCTAAGCCATCAACAATATTCTGAAGCAACCCTAGGTTGCATTACATAGATATGTGCTGTGGAGCTCAACCATCACACTGAGAAAGACAGGATCTGTAGTACGTCCTTATGTTGAAAGAAGTGGCACAAGTTCAAAACAACTACAGGTAAGTTAATCAATAACTATTTAGCTACAATGAATAAACAAATCTGTAACTTTATATTTCTTGCCCATAATTCATTGTCTAACCATACACTTTCTTCAAGTTTCCCAGTTAGATTTACCAAGCATCTCCAGACGACAAAGGATACTCAGGAAGGATTAATGGAAAGCTTTGCAGGTCCAGCATCTACACAAGCCCATCTCAGCCACACCATCCCTGCTTGTGGCACAAAACACACTTAGAGTGATGGGGGCAGCTCAGCCATGGCTGGGACTGTTCCTGCTGCCTGGTCAGAAAAACCTACCAAAGCACATGCTTGAGCAGCCAGTTCTGACTTTACGTTGCTTAATATGGACTTCTAAGGAGTATCTTTGGTTCAGACATGGATAACTTGCAGGCACAGCATGAGTACTTCACAGAGCAGCTTTGAAGCTCAGCACAGCAAAGCAGCAGAGCACAGTGTCCATCACCTCCCTCCATCCCAAAAGGTCTCATTCCAGCTGCAAGCAGGAGAGTAGCAGCCGGTGTGCCTGCACACAGCATCTCTTCGCTGTGTTGAACAGCTGGTACAGCTGACAGAACTGAGCCCCTCACAGCACACTGATGGCTAACTCAAAGATGGCAGAAGTCACTGGATGTGCACAGCATACACATCAACAACCATTTCTGCACAGGCTTTCAGTATAGACCGTTCCCTAACAAATAACCAAAGAAATGAAAGAAAAGACATCAGCCAACTATGAAATGGTTGTTCTCTGTTCCCCCTAAAATATTAACAAGGCACTGACATAGTGTAGCACTTGCTGCACAAATCTGCTGTGACAGGGGATAACCAGGGCATTACAAAGGGCCGTGAATCAACCCAACCGCACAGCCCTTCTACTGGGCAGAACTGAAATATACTTGTGACCTGTCTGATGTTTCTACCAGTTACCTTCAGAACATCTATCAGAAGAGGAAAAGGTTTTATTTATGCACTCTGAAACTTTGCTCTTCCCCAGCAAAAAGGGTAGTGCCTGTTTAATGCTCTCTTTGTTCTACTGGACATATGCATGTGTTCATTTTGATTCATTGCTATACTGTTGATGGGCTCCAAGTACCTGCAGCTCTAAGTACACTCACAGCACACACATCTCAGACACTTAAGATACCTTTCCCCTAAAAGCCTCCCAAGAGCCAGAATATCTCCATTCCCATACAGAACCCAAGCACCCTAGATAAAACCTTCTCAGGCTAAGCTTCCCAAACTACCCACACAACCCTAGACAGCACGCTCTGTAGTTTTGCATGTGATGGAAAAGCCAAAGCTGGTTTCAATTGATTTATTTCATGCAAAGCTTCATAGATACAGCTTGTTTTTCCACTCTTACCCTGGGGTGTTATTTCCTCCCCAAATATGCCAACTCTGTTCAGAGCTGAACTTACTAGAGGAAGATCTGCCTGCTTGTCCTCCCTTTGGCAAGGTTAAAATGCTGCCTACATTCCTCTAAGTTAACTTAGGGTGTAGGACTTAAAGCAGCAAAGCTTAGCCTATACCCAAGCCTTCACATTTGCATGCAAGTTTTAGATTAAACATTTAGTTTAACACCAATGGAAATCAAAGGGCAAGCTCCAGGCTGGGAACAGCAATACATTGCGCAGCAGGAGCAGGGCGAGCCAATAGCCATGGGAGCAAAGGCAACGTGCAGCAAGCTTCCAACTGGGTGTTAAGAACTGCTCCACTCCCAGCTGCTGGATTGCAGCTTTTGCTGAGCTTGGATGGACATAACATAACTGAGAAGAGTCACCAGTCCCACACAGCTCATTAGTGGTGTTTCCCTGAGCAGGTGTGAAGGGTGCATGTACTTGCCTGTGTCATATCCCCAAGATTTTGGGGCGAGCTTCTCAGGTGCCATACAGGTGGATAAGCATTGCACTTCTTGAGATGCATTTTAAATTTAGTGGTTATCCTTAGTGCCCTTCTTGGTTAGAAAAGACCAGGAAGCAAATAATGCACAAACAAATGCAAGGCAGTCAGAGCATGCGGTGGTTTGGAAGCTTTGGAGGAATCTGGGTGCGTCCCTTGGGAAGCCTTGAATTCATGAATGCAACAAACAGATATGGAGCTGCTCCATAGAACAGCTGGGAAATCAACAGGCCGGCCTGGCACTGAGGGCCCTTCCCTTCTCTGCAGCCTGAGGTTCTATAATTGAAAGTCTACAGGGAAATGGCCCCATGCAACAGGGACACTGAAAGACACAGGCGTCACCAGCACCTGTTAAGCCTTGCTGCTCCTGCTTCTCAGAAGAGCACACCTCCTGCTTTCCAGGCTTTCTGCAGGAGCTCTTCCCATCTCAGCCATCTTGCTGGGCACACAGCATGGCACCGCTGCAAACCGTCATCCCCAGCTGCGATGATACCAGCCTGCCTTTATAGGCTGCAAGCTCTGCTTCAGAAACCAGCAAGGGAAGTAAACATGAAGATACAATCCTGGCTGCTATTCTACCACTACATTTTTTCCACCAGCTTATCTCATTTTGCATATGTAAAAAACTGTAGGCAAAACATTTCTGAGAGCAGACAGACACCAGAAGCATGCAGCCCCTCAAAACTGGCGGCCAAGCCAGGCAGCTTTAGCTCAGTCAGCAGTAAGATTTCATCCACACAAAGCCAAAAACAAGGGAGTACCTGGGACCACCAAAGACCCAGGGCTGTGGCTGAGCTTCAGCTCTGCTGTGAGCAGTGAGGGTGCAGCCATGGAAAGCACAGCTGGTTCTGGAGCATCTCCTGAGCAGTGTCTCACCAACATCTTTTGGCAAAGCCAGAGCCACCAGAAAGGCATAAAACTCTTCATTTGAGAAAGAAGAAAGGCAAATTCCCAATGCAAACACGAAGAATCTGCTTTTAAACCTAATTTAAATGAGGAATAGGCATGTAAATAGCATGGCTATAGAGAGAGACTTGCACAGGGATGGATGAGGCTGGGGCTGTCTGAGATGCAGGTGGTGAAGGAGAGAGCCTGGAAACAAGCTGCTCTCCATGCTCAGCACTCCTCCATTCAGATTCATATTAGCATATCTCTAAGTGCATATAATTTTCACATCAAAGAGCAAATTTTTTAAGGCATTTAAAAAACCAACAATAACAACAACAACAAAAAACCACCTAGGACTGAAGTAAGTAATTTCTTTGCTGAAACATCTCAAGCAGCTCCTCTCTATGACATGACAGAAAAATTACAGAGGAGACAAGCATTTAAAAAAAAAACCTCTTCCCTAGAATTCAGATTGTTTTTACCCTGTGCATCAAGAATAAATAACAAAAAATTCAGCCAAATTGCAATAGAAAGCATAAAGGAAGCCCTGAACACAGACTGCAGCTCAAGGCTGGCACAAGAGTGTTGGTGGCGGCACAGGGCTGGGCATTGCACCCCTATGGGTGCACACAGTGGCACAGAGAAGCACCAACATCCCATCATCTTAACTTGGGAGCACCCTGTACCCTCTGCTCCTTGCTTGGGGACCAAACTAATCAGCAGTGAGGGCAAGTAGGAGGAGCTGGAAATGCCTGAGCCCTTCTCACCTCTGTCCCACCAGCCCTTCCAGCAACTGAAACGAGTCCCTATGCAATACCCAGAGCTTCTCTCCTTCCCTAATAGTGCCCTCATGGGGCTGCTCCCCAAAGCCCAGGCCATGCTGGGCATTTGTGCTCTGCTCCATCTGTCTCAGAAATCAGGTTCAGGCAGGAGCTCTCCTCTAACGAGCTTTTATTAAAAGACTCTGTTACAAATAGCCACTTAAGCAAGTGAACCTTTGGAGCCTTCAGTCCATGATGTCAGTGCTGTGGCTGAATGTTTCCCGGGAGTATTAAACCCGATGCTAATATAGGTCTGCACTATATGACAGCTATAAAACTCCTTAAGCACGCCAGGCAAGAGGCCAGCATGGCTTTTTGTTGCCTATCAGGGCTTGGCTGAAGGCCTCATGCACTGAGGCAGCAGCACGGCAGGAAGCCAGCTTTTGCTCACCTCTATTGCAAGGCTGAAATAATCCCAAGGATGGGAGATCCTTTCCCACACTTTCTTTTTGTGGGCACAACCCCCAGTACCATGCCATACACCCCCAAGTTACACTTCCATCCTTCATCTTCCTGCCCCTGACTGTGGCCCCCTGCCACAGGAAAGCCCAACCTAAGCCAAGTAGGCTTCAACTGTTTGTCTAAAAGCACCTATTTTTCCAAGCCAGGTTTCCAGCCTCCCAGCTCAAGTCTGCAGACCTGCCCTCTCTGCACACACATCCCCAGGGCTCTATGGGGCCACTGCCACTGCCACAAGTCACATCACTGCCACTGCTCTGCAAATCACATCCAAGATACACAAGAAATGCAAACAATGTTTGCCAACAGCAAGCGATATGAAGACCAACAGTAGAACTGGTTTGACCCACCTGCCAGCTGGAAAATGAGAGGCAGAGGGCACAATCACACGCATTAATCGTGTTATAACCGACTACTTTCCGCCAATAGGTGGCACCAGCAATTTTTGGATATGTTGCAACATGGTGCTCACGGCCCCCTTCCCACACAAAGATGGATGGGGTGGCATGACAGCACGTGGCCCCTCTCCATCTGTTTGAGTTAGGAAGAGGTTACAGTCCCACCAGTCTATTTCTCTTTCCCAGAGAGACCCATTTTAAAGAGCACATCTTACCTGAGTATTTCAGGGAACAGAAGCCTGGATGCAAAAAAACTTCTTTAAAATGGAGGCACAGCTTCAGTGGAAGGGAAACAGAAATCATACAGCTCAGCACAGCAAAAGCTCAAGCTTCTTGTAACCAAGTGCTCTGACTACTTGTGTGAAAGCATCTAAGTGAGAGACTAATGCCATTTAAATACACCTGGTTTCAATGTATTACCTTGATTAGTGAGCCCGAGAGAAGGAAGCATCAGGCAAACACGTGCTCCATCCTCACACACAACATAAAGGAGAACAACCCAACCAAACAGAGCTCACAGCTCAGCAGCCTGACCCTGTGCTGGGGAAAACCCACCCAACATCCTCTACCCTCCAGCCCCACACAGCCTACAGGTGCATTGGATCTAATGACTTCAGCTTGCAACACCACGCAGCTGAATCCAGCCAGTGTAAATTATTTAAGAGTCTGCAGAACATTACACAGTTCATGTAGTTAATGATTATAGTTCAGCGTCTAGGTCAGATATAATTAGATGTTACATTAAAATAGCTTCACAGAGCCATTTATTCTGATTTAATTACTTAAAATGATAGTATAATGAGCAGTGCTTTCAAAGAAAAAAAAAAAAAGAAATCTCTTAATGAGCTCATTTTAAGTTAATATAAGGCAAATTAATCATTTAACAGAATGTGGTGAAAAAGACAAGTTCGTGTTTTAAAGCGTGTTGTTCCCGTGTCACAGAGCTTGTTGTGATGGCATGCTGGGAAGGACACAAACGGACGGTGCTTAGAACAAGTGCGTGTGCTGTGCATCTGGAACATCTTTGCAAGATGCTTTCTGCCTTCCCCAGATGTACCTGGACGCTACAGCCCTTTGAAATACAACCTGAGCGGCAGATTTACGACCATCAAACCGCGTCTTTATCCCGACGTGAAACAGAGCAATGGCTGTGCGAAGCGGTTATCCGGAGGGGGTGAGCTTGTGACGGAGGGTTAATCACGGGGAGTTCCATTAATCATTCAGCTGCTGGCTCGGAAAATTAGCTTCCACTTGTTTGTTTGCTCAAGAGGAGATAAGCCGGTTCCCTTGCTAACTCATCTATTTTCTTCCCCTCGCATTGTTTTAGAGATTTTAATCCTTTCCCATTTCTGTAATCAGTCACTTTGGTCTTTTAGCAGCGCGGCTTACAAGCAGCAGCAATTACTGCGTGAGAGCCGGCATTTCTCTGCAGGAGAGGCAGCTGGCACGGATTCCCCCCGGCAGGAGCAGCCCCGTCCTTCCAGCAGCCCGAGCTGCAGCGTTCACGCCGCGTCCCGGCGGTTTTCCTTCCCTGGAAAGCCAGAAAGTGCCACCTTGTAACCCTTCTCGCTCTCAACGTTTGAATAACCACGGACAGCGGGTCAAACCGCGAACAGAAGTGCGTTCCCAGGGTGACACCCCAGCCACCACTTGCCCTCCATCCTCCCCTGAGCGCACGGTGTCCCTGAGGGCAGCCCGATGCCCCCAGCCCTGACCTGCTGTTTTCCCAGAGGAGCCTCACGACTTTTGCCCCAGCCCGCCCGTCCGTTCTGCTCCTGGCGCCCCGCAGCATCACTCAGCCTTGTGTGAACCATCCCTACCTCCCTCGGTTCGGGCTGTGAGAGCACCGGGCTCGCCCGAGGAAAGCCTTCAACCCTGGCTGCTTTTGCAAAGCTCCCAGGCGTTTCACACTCGCTCTTTCACAGCAAAACTAAGCTAGAAATGAAAAGCTGATATTTTTTTGGAGGGAGGCAGAGGGAGTCCTGCTCCCAGCCTGGGTTTCTTTGCACTGCATCAGCAACAAGCCACCCTCCATGAGCTGCTTGCGACCATTGCCATCGAACTGACTGCAAAATGAGGGGTCTTTAGCTTAGGCATTTGCTGGATACCTTGGCAAAAAAAGAAAAAATTAAAAAAAATAATCCATGAGCAGAGGCTGACTGCAAATGAGCAGTCACAGCTCCCACAAGGGACGTAAATAATTTGGGGCTGCACTCTTTTTTCTTAATGCACGGTGTCTGTTCCCAATTAGGGAAAACCAATGTCTTGCAAACGCTTTGCTTCCCCAGCAGCAGCTCCAGGGGCAGCAGTGTGGTGCTATGACAACACCGTGCACTGCAGGTGCGTGCAGCACAGTTGCACCGATCCATCAGCTTCCCACTCCATCCTTCCCAGTTGTTGGGGCTTAGATGCAGCAGAGCTGGGATATCCCTCTCCCTTCGCTTTTTTTCCATCCGGCTTTTTCTTTGCTTTCCCCCTGCCCACCAGCTGCACCCTGCCAGCATTGCCTTGGCACTGCTCCTGTGGCACCAGACCAGAGACAGCGCAGTGCCGTAGGGCTGCACACCAACCCTAATTGCAGCTCCAAGCATCACTGCTTCCCCTTTGGGGGTTAAAACCTGGATTTCCAAGAAAAACACAACATTTCAGAGTGGCAAAACTTGTATCTGATAAGGATTTCCAGACAAAATCTGACTGGATTAGGGAAAAAAAAATTAGGAAAAAACAAACAAACAAACAACAGTTTCTGCAACAGAGTATTTTCCTTGTCATATTCTCTGTAATTAATTTCTAAAAGTAGATCATTTTATATGACGCAGGCAACAGCGTTCCAGAGCTCATCAGGCCGTATGTTTTCACATTTTGAAAGGAAAACTAATTAAAAAGAAATTGGAAAAAAGAAAGAAAGAAAGAAAGAAAGAATGGTTGGTGAGGAGGGCTGTAGTTTGGGTCAGAGAGGAGCGGTGAAGGAATCCTTCAGGAATGTATACATTCACTCTGCTCTGCGTTTTGTTTTCGGAATTGTTTCTGGCAGAAACCTAAAGAAAAATATGAACCAGATGTATGAGGAAATAGTTTCTTCATCAGAGAGAAGAATAGCTCTCTGTCTGCCAGGAGGTTTCAGCCTCGACATTTTCAGAAGGTGATGTTAAAAATACCTTTCAAAGGTGGCTGCTTTGCCAGCAGAGTGCGGGACGTCCTGAACATGGGAGGATGAGCAAAGATGGAGATGGAGATGGGGAGTGGTGCAGGGATGCAACTGATGGATTTCTCTTCCATCACCATCTCCCCCATTTGCCACTGAACTGAGGACACTGCTCCTCTTCTAGAGCATCCAGAGCTCAAGGCAGACACAGCAAGAAGCAATGGAGCAGATGGTTGATGCTCGAGTGCCACCGTGCCCCATTTCAGGGCATCACACAGCCCCTGCTGGGGTCGGTGGCTGGGAACAGGGAGCTTAAGCAGGAGTTAATTGGGGCTGGAAGAGAGCAAGGGAGAGCAAACAGGGAGCTTTAATCTTGTTAAATTCACCTCGAGTGGCTATACCTGGTTCCCAGCGGTGAGGCAAAGAGGAGCCTCTCTCACTCCCAGCCTTCCCACAGGGGAATGAGACTCAGGGGGACTTTCCCCATCTGTTTGGAGCAGGTCAGAGCCTTCCTCATCCCTCCCCATGCACCCAAGTTCTCCCCTCACCAGTCGTTCTTCAGTGCCTTGCAGAGAGCAGGCTGTATGCTCCCAAGCACCGATGCCCATTGGCACTCACTCACCACAAATATTTCTCACCCTTCCTTCCCCCAAAAGCCCCCTCCGTCCTGCTGCTTTCTGTTCACAACAGCACACACAGCTCCAGGATGAGTTCGAAAGAGGAGGGAAAACGCACCTAACAAGATGAGTCACGCGTGGGTGATGCTTTTATCTCCTGAAACCGGGGATTTTGGGGGGAACACAACAGCGCACAGGAGCGGTGCTTCTGGTGAGGATTTCCCCGAGCTGCCAGTGATGGCCTCTGAGCTGAGGGCTCAGTCTCACCCATGGCATCACCACTGCATCTGCAGCTGTGGGCTGCCTGGACCAGAGGGCCATGTGCCTCCCAGGCTTTCAGAACTAAAGGTGAGAAAACCTAAGGCTTCCCTCTGGTAGTATCACAGTGCTGCTGTGTTCTGGCCAGCTCTGCTAAAAACAAACAAACACTTCGAGCTCTGAGCTTGGCCCAGCATTTGCTTCATAAGTCACGGGATGGGCTAACCCTGACAGCCACGAGCTCCATTTTCCACACTTAAAAAACAAAAACTAGAGAGCTCTGTCTGTCTGGGAGCCAGCAGCGTTCACATCCCGGGTCCATCCCAATCCCCCATAAATTTAGAAAGCTTTGCTGTGTTTCGTGGAGCATCTCAAGCAGCAGAGATCTCCCATGGGACACCAACGAGGAAAGCTGAGCAGTTCTTGTTTGGTGATGATTGGCAAATTATCAGCTCGCCGCTCCAACTTCCACAAACAGCATCAGCCAACAGCAATAAAACACAGGTCGTGGTCCCGGGAGCTTCAAAACTATTTTCCAGAGCTCAACTTCATGACAAGATGCTCACTGCGACACCACAGAAGCACTGAGCTGCTTGATTGGAATAACACAGATGCAGTGCAGTTTTCAAGTCAATCAGAACAATAAATTTAGAAGTGCCAGATTTCTGCAAGAATTGCTCAAACTTTTTGTTTTTTTCCCATGCTTTTTTCTCTGTAACCCTGGAGAACCACATCTCTTCTCGGGCAGAGCAGTGTTGTCAGCGCTGAGCATCCACATGTGAGCTGCTCTGTGGGTTTGCCTCATTCTCTGCTCAGCACCAGGAGATCTCGAGGCACACAGCTTCCACGCACATCCACAGCTGATGGCAGAGCCAAGGTAACTGTGGGGTGAATATCTCCAACCTCAACATTTCCCTGACAAGGATATCAAGAAAACACTCTGGGGGCTTTGCTAACAGTGAGGCACTTCAAACATCCTTCATTCCTGGATTTGAGCAGCCTGTAATCCTGGGTTGGTTTCGTTGTAGCTGGTGTGAACATATATCAATGAATTGTTATCCACAACCCTCATCACTGTTACCGATGCCTTTTATTTTTCCAGTCCTTGCCTGAAAAACATTAAGCTGCCCCAGATAAGCAGAGGAGGAACAGCTTTCCCCAGTGCTGCAGGTGCCACCAGAGCCACACAGTGCTTCCCATCCTGGTGCTGTATCCAGTGATCCCACGCCCTGTGCACTGCTAGGGGGACAAGGGAGTGCCATAGGTCCTGAAATTCCTGCTCAGGTGCAAGGGGAAACATCACCTTATTCACTGTCTCTCCTCAGATATAATGGCTGAGCATGCAATGCTCATGGCTGCAAAACCCAACCGCGAGCACCATCTTCTGCTCTTCGTCTCAGTACCAGCACAGCTGACCTGGAGTGCTGAGGATGGAGCTCTCCCGCCTTCAGCTGCGGAATGCTGGCTGCCCATGTGCTGATAGATGGGTGACATGGCTTCATTTCCCCGTGCTGCTGCCTTGCAGCACTGCCAAGAGGGCTAGTGCTTTTAGAAGTGCCCCTGCCTCCCTGCTTCACTTTCCTGCTGAAAACATCTGGTCTGCTTGGCACCTCTGCTCCAGTAAATATAGCATAGCATCTTGCTGGCGGGCACAGTGCCACTGCGACAGATGGGGCTGAGCACAGGCAGCCAAGAGACCTTGTATCAGCATCAAGTGTGTGTGCAGAGGGCAGCATTTGCAGCCAGAAATGTCAGCGCGGCTGCGGCTCCGTGCCTTCAGATACCAGGGAGGCGAGACTGTGCCGAAGCAGCTCTGGGCAGGATTAGCTTTGAAATGAGGGAGGAAAAGCTAATTTCTGTGGCTGTGAAGCATAAGGTTCTGGTCGCGTGGAGTCGGATTAACTTCTGGCTCAGGGATGGTACCGCTGCCTCGGCTCTCCTCCAGGGGAGTGAGCCCACAGCCAGTGCCCAGAAGCCCCAAACCCCACAGTCAGCAGCGGGGTGCCAAGTGGGGTAACAGACTGTGTCCCACCAATGTCAGGTTGCTTTACCAGGCACAGGGAGATGCCTCCCATCAGGTGCTTGCAGCAGGGCAGAACAGCATGGTGCAAGCTATGCACACAGGTTTGCTGTGAATTAGGGGTAGCAGAGCTTTCTCCCCCCTCTCATTGTCATTTCCTTTGCTTTGCTCTTTCTTGATACTCCAAGAAAAAAAAAAAATACAACACGGGCCCTGATTGAGAAAGGAAGGAGAATTGGCAAGAGCCAGCATGTCTGCACTTGTTTTAAGTTTTTATATTTATTAAAATACTCTGGAAGTGTCTTGCATTCCAGCAGCCTCTGGAAAAGCACTGAAATGAGTTGCATATTGGAAACGCTCAACTTCCAGCAGCCCACAGCCCAAGGCAAGCATGGTCCCAGCAGGGAGCAGCTGGGATGGGCGCAGGATGGGTGCTGCTTCATGAAATACCTGCACACTCTGTAGGGGTTCTGCAGTCTGAGCCCTTTGGGCTGGGACAGATGTCACCCTAAACTTGCCCTGGCATGCGGGTGATGGGACCATGGTGCTTCAGGAGAAACTTTCGTCGATCTGAAAGATTTAACCTTCATACCAGTGGGGTCTGGGCTCTGTTTTCACACAGAAAATTGGAGCCTATCCATGACAGGTAAAAGACAAAAGCCCATTGAGTCTGATGGGAATCTTTCCCTTGGCTTATGAGAACTTCTGGTTCCAGCAAGCTGCCTCCATATGCCCAAACCAGGCTTGGTGCTGGTGCCTATCATTGCTGTCCTTCAGCCTGCTTAAAAACACCCCAGTTTCCTCAGCTTCATCATCCTCTGCATTTTCAGCCGTGGATTTGCAGACATTAAAACAGAAAAATATTATTTAAGAAGAAAACTAAAGCAGGCCCAAGGGAAGCAGTGAAGGCACATATGAGAAAAAGGAGATAAAAGAGCAGAAAGTCATTCATGCAGCGGAGAGGAAAGGACAGAAGGAAACCATTCACACAAGCACTGGATGAGGAAGGAGCATTTTGCACAGGAATGGCATAAGATTGTCTCTATCTCAGCAATGCATTTGCTCAAGACCCTGTAATTTAACACAGGCACCTTTAAAAATGTCTTTGCTATGTGAAACTCAAATGCAGAGCAGATTTGGAAAGTCCATAGCAGCTCAATAGCTGTGTCCTACGATGAGGATTGGTTTCCTTTGTCCCCCTGCAATTACCTTCACACAGCTCTGTCTTGTTCAGTAGCTCTGTAGTCTCAGACTTCGGAGATTTACCTCTTCCATGCACTTCCCCTTTTTAAGTTGTGAATATTAAAGCCTCTGAGATAAAAAGAAGCCAGGGCAAAAAGAAGACTTTACCTGGGAGGTATGAACAAAAGGAATAAGAGGGAAAAAAAAAAAAAAAGAAAGCTTCTCAGCACATCTTCTTTGCATCCTTCACTTTTCCTGAGATGAACCAAAAATCCTGGTCCCAGGACACCCATCCACAAAGTGCCACAAGGAGCTGGTGCTGCTCACAGGCACAGAGAATTAGGCACACACAGCGAAGAGCAGGGATTTGTTCCTGATTGCCAGCACAGACCCAGGCATGCTACCAGAAAACATTCAAGCGAGACCTGGAAGGGATGCAATCCCCCGAGCTTGGTGGAGCAGGCATCTAGCTCAGCTTCCTTCTGGTGCTAATAATTAGGAAGGATTGCGAGGCCCAAGGGGGAGATTAGGTTGTTTACAGTTTTGCCTTTATCAAATAAAT